CCACAGATAAACCCATATTCGATAAGCAACATCAACAATATCAAAACCTTTTTATTAAGATAAAAAAAGAGAACTAAAATTTTTAATATAACAATCCTTTTTATTAATAAATAGTATAGATATAGATGTAAATCTAAACTAATTTAGAAAGAACAAACTAGAGGTAGGAATAAAATGTAAGAGTGGTGAAAAAAATCATTTTTTTCAATTGTTTAAAAAGGGTAAAATTATAATTTTATAAGGGATAATTGTTTCTCTTTTTTATATCCCCTTTCTTTATAGAACATTATATGCTACTCAAATGGCATGAAATAAAAATTAAGCGTAAAATTATAATTTTATAAGGGATAATTGTTTCTCTTTTTTATATCCCCTTTCTTTATAGAACATTATATGCTACTCAAATGGCATGAAATAAAAATTAAGCTGTGTGTGTGTGTGTGTGTGTGTGTGTGTGTGTGTGTGTGTGTGTGTGTGTGTGTGTATATATATATATATATATATATATATATATATACAAAAACTTGATGCGGCATAATTATGTACCAAAATTGCAAGTGCACAATTTATCAAGTTATAGTATAAAAAGATATCGATCCCACGAAGAAGGTGATTTTAAGAGATTATTAAACTTGGTTCTTATATTTTGTGCGTGACAATTAGGAATAAAGAATAAGTGTGATTGTATGAGTGGTTGTTTTGATTTATATGCAAGAGGTAATAAATTGAATTTTAGAGGAGAGAAGGAAGAATTAAAGAATAAATGAAATCACAAGGCAAGAAATATGAATTAATAAAATCAAGAAATAAAACTAAGAATGAAAAGAAAATTTAAGAAAGTCAAGATGGAGGATTCAAAAGAGGTAAGAAATCTAGAATATAATCCACTAACCAATTTCAATTACAAAATATAAACTATTCTCTTTTTATCATATTTCAACTTAGATTTATTAAGCATAGATTATCAAACCATTTAAGGAAAGTGTAACCTATCAAATTATCATCTAAGCTAAAATTACTATTCATGATAAGAACAACAACATGATAATAATCCTAGAATTCATAAGCATAACCTATCAAACCATTTAAGATAAGCATAGATTATCAAATTCTTCTTCTACCGATTAGTTCTCTAGTTGATTATCCTAACATGAACATTTTAAGTACAAGAGAATAATTCATACAATATAAAAGAAATTAGACTAGTTTCATACAATTCTAAGATTCCTACAAGAATTAAATTCACATCTTAAGAAATAAAAACAAGAAAAAGAAGACTAATTACAAAATTAAAAAGAAAAGAAAAATCTAAACTATGAACAAGAAATAAATCTAATTACAAAGAAAATAAAAATCTAAACTACAAAATAAATTGCAGAAATTAAATGCAAGAAAAATAAATCTACTCTACAAATTAAAGTGCAAAAAGAAATAAAAAAGACAAGAAAATAAATCTACACTACATTAACAAGAAAATAAAATCTAAACTACAAGCATAGAAATAAATCTACACTAATAAGCAATAAAAAGGAAATAAAAGAGAAAAAGGAAAGAAAATGCAAACCTCTAAATAATTCTTCATCTCCATCTTCATCATCCAACAAAGAGAAAGAACAAATTTAAAGAGGAAAAAATTATTTTTATTAATTGCAACTAAAGTTACAATTTTTGGAAGGCCTTCTCAATTAAGAGTAGCCCTCCTCTCCAAAAGGAGTTTACAAAATTTTCACACCTCTAACCCCTCACTCTCTACCCCTATTTATAGTAAACATCAGTGAATGAGAGCCATTGGATTCAAATCTTATCCAAAACCAACAAAAATCAGCCATTGGATTGTAACTGCCTGGACGTCCGTATCGATACCCGCATCGATAGGGGTATCGATGCGGGCATCGATACAGGCATCGATGCGGGCATCGATGCCCCCATCGATGCAGGCATCGATGCCTGCTCTTCTCCTGTTGCTGTCCGCAGAACTCTTGTATTTTGCTTTTGGGCTTGTGTCTTGGGCTTTGGCTTGGACTTTTGGGCTTGGCATTTTCTCTTGATTTTCCATTGGGATTTGAATTATTTGAAAGAATTCCGTTGGCTTCACGGGCTTCATTTCTTCATTAAATCAAGGGGTTTTTGTTGAGATATTGGAGTTTGAGATTTATTCATCATTAACCTGCAATTAACAGATAAAAGCAATTATTAGTGGTATATTTATTCATATAAAATAGATAATGAGGGTATAAAATTGGTAATAAAATATGATTATCAAATACCCCCACACCTAAACTTTTGCTAGTCCTCTAGCAAAGAAAATAAAAAGAAAATCCTAACTCACTTTCGCAGGAATCGCGGTTGTATTTAGCGCATACAACAAGCCTTTAAACCCCTAGGTTACCCTAGTGGACGAGTTGTAGTCTCGTGAGGGTTTGCAGTGAATATACCCACAAAATTCGGTCAACTTGCCAAGTTAAATAAGTCAGTAAATAACAGATTTTCCTTGATATATTTAAACATTCTAATTGAAGCAAAACATGTATATATATATATATATATATATATATATACATATGGGAAAAGTGAATCTAAGGTGACACCCTAGGCTCCCACCTAAGGACGCGGCCTAGAATCACATCATTTCCTTTTTTTTACGATCCGCTCCGTTGAACTTGATCTACACGTTCTTAAACCCAAACACACCAATTTTGGGGTGAACCCGTTGTGTTTTGACCCTTTATCCACTCGCTATAATTTTAACGGTTTCGAATGAATAGAACTTTTTACACGGCTCATTTCTATGATACGATAATATGAGAGAGAGAGAGAGAGAGAGAGAGAGAGAGAGAGAGAGAGAGAGAGAGGGAGGGAGGGAGTTATTTACACAAATATACAAAAAAATAATGAGGATGAAATAATTAGTGGAGGATTTCAAGTTCAAATAATGAAGATAAAATCTCTCAAAAAAACAATTGACCCTCCGTATTTCCTCCAATGATAAAATTTACATCTACTCCTTTATATTTAAAGGAGAATCGAAAAAATTAGTGTCCATGATACATTAAACACTGTAGTATAAACAGTAAATCAAATCTTGTCCTCTGCACTCGAAGTACTGTTCATGCACAATAATTTACTATAACATAAACAATAAATCCAATCTGCTCATCCATAATTGTAGTTACTATTCATGCTACAGTATTTAATGTATCATAAACGATAAAACAAATCAAATGTATTAAAACTTAGACCGTTCTTTAGGTATAGATGAGTAGATATGATTTTTAAATTAAATATATTAAAATTTGGATCATTCTTTAAGTATAGAGGAGTATATATGATTTCTAATTTTAAGCATACTATAATTGAATCAAATGTATTAAAACTTAGAGAGAAGCAAGATCAAAATACGGTGCTTAAAAAAATAGAGAGCCGTGCTTTGCACTGGGCACACAAACTCTAAATAAAATGAAAATAATATATTTTTATATCATGTGCACTCACACGTATTAGATTTCTAGTAAATATAAAGGAAGGGCTGGGCTGGACCTAGTACGCAATGTCTCATAGAAATGTGGTCGATATTGCCATGTTGGGCCTAGAAAGCAATATTTTCTTAAGGCGGTGTATATCGGAAATTCGTAAAACAACCTTAGAAAGGGTTGAGTAGAGAAATGTCTGTAAAAATCTTTGCCCAAATTACATGGGATTAAGATATATTTGACAAAAGGAAAAAAAAATCAATAACACTACCAGAGTAAATGAATTAGACTGAGCAAGAGAAGAATTAAAGAGATGTAAAAATGAGTCCTATACGAGTTACAAAACATTTCCAATAGTCATGGGAGTCGGAAGCGTCATGTTTTATATTTTTAGGACAATTTTCCCCGTTTTTGAGGGACTATTTAGAAAAAAATAGTTATTTTTAAAAAATTATATCGGCTTAAAATATTGTTGAACATGTAGTACAAAATCAATATAATAAGAATTATGTTCAGAATTCCATCAAATATATACTTTGTGGTTAGGTCAGCATGTAACTATGGTCTATGGATGAGTGATTACCAAAGTACATATTTACTAACTAATTCCATCTCCAAACGTGAATTCTCTGTCCATTTCTAGCTCATACTTCACCTTATGATAAGGGTAAAAAAATCC